GCACACACATACACACGCTCCCTCGGGCACGGACGCTCGCACCGGCACCCGCACTGTCGCCTCTCGCTGTTGCCCCCGCTGCCGGCCAGAACTGGACAGAACCGGCAAGGGCGCCCCTGCCCCCGGACGGGGAGTCCTCGAGGGGGGGGGGGGGGGCCGAGGGCACACCCAGCCACCAGGTGCGGAGGTTAAGGCAACTGCCGGCGCTCCCCCTTTTCCCCTTGAGTCTGGGCCCGTGCGGGGCCCCCCCCCCCCGCGGGGGGGGAGCGCGGGGGGGGGGGGGGGGGCCCCGGGGCCCCCCCCCCCCCCCGGGCGGGGGTTTAGGCAACCCCCCGGCCCCCCCCCTTTTCCCCCTGGTGGGGGGCCCCGGGGGGGCCCCCCCCCCCCCCCCCCCCCCGGAAAATGGGGGCTCCAGTGCCGCTCCCCGGGAACTTACCTCGCGCGGCAACCCGCCCCCCCCCCGCAGACACCATACACATCAGCGTGCCCAGCAAGTGCGTCACTGCCCCCTCCCACACCGCTCTCTGCTAAGGGGGGGGCTGCAAATGCAGCCCCGCATGTTAAGAGGCCCAAGTGACCTGGGCGATCGACGTCCAAGAGGGGGGCGGGGTGCCCCGGTCGGTTGTGGTCTCCGCGCGGGCAGATCGTTGTGAGGTACCGGGCGCGCGTGCCTGTTGGCACACGCACACACGCACCCCGCCTCGAGGTCTGGCGGCGACCAAGGGGGACTCACCCACCCCCTCCGCCTGGCCCCGACAGGTGTGTTTGTGTGGCCACACATTAGGCAGGTGGGCACGCCCGCTATCTGTTATTATTATTGCGGCGGATACTCGGAAGAAGTCTTGCGGCGCGCGTACACGCTCGTGTGCCACACCCCCTCCCCCGGCCCAAGATCTTCAATGACTGGCCGGGAGACGGAGGCCGAGAGAAGCTCGGCCGCTCCCCGGTTGGGGCATGGGGAAGAGATCGTGCCCGGCGGCATGAAGCACCCACCTTCCCGGCGAACGGGCCCGAGGGCGCGGGACACGAGGACAAACTCCCATCGCCCATCTCTGGCCGGCGCGGGCGGCCGAGTCCCTCCGGGAGCGAGGGGCGGGCCGGGGGTGGAGCCGGGT